CCCCAAAACCCCAAAACCCCAAGCTCTGAAACAAACACAAGATTATTAAGAAAGATAAATAAATGAGATAAGTTATATATTAAGAAGTAAAGTCTATTAAGTTCAGAGCTTGAGTGATTTAGCAGTCCCCTGATTAATTGACTTTCAACTAATTCATTAGAATTATGTCAACCAACTTGACTCGTTCAACATTTGACTTACAACTTCTTGGTTAAATTATGAAAAATTCTCTGCACTTAAGCTCAACAAAAAATGCCTGAAGAGATAGTTGTAAACTGAATCCGAAAGAAATTATTATATATTTTTCAAGCTGAATCTGTACCTTATTCTGCCGAGAATGCTTAATTTTTCAAGAGTATTCTTTTCTAACTTTCTGGATTTAGTTATTATCTTATATAGTCTATACCTATCATTTTCCACAGGGTTGGTTGAATATTACAGATCTTAATTAATTCTTCTGATCTGATCCTAACTGAATTTACTTTCTACTAATTCCTAATATTTCCCATTGATGTTAAAAATTGAATCGTTGATCATTAAACATTTAACAAATGCTCGACAGATAGATAAGATCGATGATTTGCTTGAGGATTTTAAAAACTTTAATTTCTTGGGTCTACCGCGACTTCTACGATTAATTACAGTGAGTTCTTTCTCAAAAGTATCTAAAATCTTTTTGACTATATTTCAATTATTAAGATGTAAAGTACTTTGCTGACTTGAGCCTATAGAATTTGAAGGAGATAAATCAGAAGATTAATTATCAGACTCACATTAATTGATCTCACTTTCAGATTCTCCATTCTCTGTTTAAGCGCTTAAGTTTTCGTCGTTGGGCAATTATTTGGTTGAATTATTTGGCTCGCAACTATCTTAAGGTTAAATTTTAGAGTAGATTAACGATTTTGACTCAAAATCAAAGATTGTTTTAATATCGTTTTAGGGATTCTGATTAGATTCAACCTAAACACATTTGTAATTGTATAAATCATAGCTTGTCTCATCGAGCTTATGGCTATAATTTGTTAATGTTTGAAGAAGTTCTTGCCACTAGGAGCTACCTTCAAAAAAATCATCATCAATTTTTAATGTGGGAAAGTTAGTTGAAGTCCTTTCAATTTAATTAAATTCCATAAGCTCTAATAATTAATCATTTTGCAATGATTAATCATTAAATTTCTTCATTTATTAGATATTATTGTCATTATCGGTTTTTGAATGAAAGATAGTGTTAGTGCTCATAGGACTCAGTTTTCTTAGTTTAATATTTTTAAAATCTGGCTTAAAGAATCAAGAAATACTATAAAATTTATTATAATATGTGACTAACTTAGGACGTATTCAAGCCGAGTATTTAATTTAATCAAATGATTAATATATTTTTGATTACAAGTTTTATCATTTGATCTCATTTTGCAGCGATTCAATCTAATGGGGTTTTGGGGTTTTGGGGTTTTGGGGTTTTGGGG